GAAATGCTCGCTGCCCCCCTGCAAAGTTGAAATCGTCATGTCCTCTTAGCAACAGAGGTCCACACACACACACACACCTCGCCTCACCTCACCTCACTCCTCTCACTCTCTTTCGCTCTGTCTCTCTGCACCCCTCTCCCTAGTACCTGCTCCTGCCTGATGCTGGTTTTTTCTCTTTCTCGGTCTCGCATTTTAGCTGAATGAGGGCCCGGCCCCACGGACGCAGGGCTTCGGTGTGCATGTGGGCCCAGAGCTCATCTCCGCAACGTGTGTCGCAGCTCCTTGCGATCTAGCAGCTTGCTTCATCTTTGTGCCACCAGTCAGCACCATCCCCAACATGTAAAATCCTGGATGAAGTTTAAGACACCTTTGGTCGGAAATCCAAGGAAATGAGAATCCGAACAAGAACCAGGATTATATTGATCAGGTTCTTATAGGGTGCCTATATAAGGCCATACAACAAGCCTTCAAAAGCCTTTGATTCCGAATCCTGGAAGATCAATAAACAAAGTCTGCGCAGCCTTATCCCCTAGAGCCTGAACTCCTCCGGAACCTCATCTTAGTTGCTGAGTTCATGGGCCCAAAACGTGTACACTTCCAGTTCTATATATAACGGGTGTCAAGCCTTACTCATTCAGCAACTAAGTCATAAAGCCATGATTTTAAAGCGCCTGCCATTTCCTTGAAGCCGGCGCTGCTGTCAGGCGCCTGCGTGCCGCGACTTCACCAGGTGCTTTTCAAACCCGCGCTCGGTCAAAGGGTTGGAAGTTCCTAGACCCCTTTCCAGCATACGAGTAGCTCTCCAAGTTCGGGACGGCACCCTTTTGTAAACAAAGGACCCCCAACAGGGACCCTAGTTTAGAGAACTACCCAAACCCGAAATACCCACGATACAGCCCGGCTGCTTGGGGGGGGGTCGCGGTCCTGGTTTAGCCAGCGTTTGACGACAAGGACTGTTGGGGTTTAACAACATGAGGTAAGGGCTCGCAGGCAGGGTTGAAATAGGGTTTAGGAAATCGGGTCAACAACCAGACGGTTGTCCCAACAGCGTCATACCATGTAGAGTGTCTGAATGCATATGGCAACAGTTAATAGTTCTCGATTCAATATGATAGGAAATAGCCAATGAGGAGCAGGATAAGTTGTGATTTCGCAGGCCATATGCTGTACACAAGGGTAGTTCTCCCTTGCTAGGCCCCAACTATAGTACAGCACAGTTATAAAAAGGGCCCTAAAAGGGACCCTAATTCAGAGAACTATCCACATCGCACAGAACCTCAAATTCTTACCGATGGATACCCTCGAGCCACCGGCTAAAGCCCGGCCCAAGGTCCGACTTCTAAACTTAAGTTTGGCGTGTGGGGGTTTTGGGTCTAGGGGTGGGCTAGCGCCTAGTGGGCGTTTTAGGTTTGCGGGCGTGAGGTATAGCTGTAGTGTTTTGGGTTTTTGTCTGGTGTTGAAACCCACATGTTGACAGCGGGTTTAAGGCCGGGAGGTTCCAGGGTGCAGCGTGGCGACTGGGTCTAGGGAGGAGAACAAAAAGGTTCTGACAACATGGCCCCCCTATCCCCAAACCCTAAACCCTTTCGTGAATCAGCCCTCAACCTTTAAAAGCTTGAGTCCACAACCGTCACCCTAGACTCCATCCCCGCCATGCAGCCAAGGATCCGAAAAATACGCGAGCAGGGTATTGCGCCACGTCTTCAAGAAAAGAAGACGATGAAAGAAGCATCGACTCAGTTCACGAACCAAGAACTGCCCAACACCCCCCTGGATTGCAGCTGGATCTCTGTCTCCCACAGCCACCACCCCGAAGGGTGGTAAAGCCAAAACTGGAAGGTGTGGGGACATTGGTATCGCCTCAGCTGGAGCGCGGGTTTCGAACCCTGCAAGCACCAAGTTAGCGAACAGATGTCAGCGAACTATGGCACAATTGGATTCGCACTTTTGTGCCTCTAGCTCAAGGGCCCTGTGAAGTCAAACAGCAACGGTTGGTCGTAAACATGGTTCCTACACATGACCATCACTGCTACTGCACACTGGAAAAAGGCACGCACTCAAGCTGCACATGTAAGAACACAGGGGAAAGTCTCACCCGTCTTACTTATTGATGCGTGCCGGGGGCTCGTACCTCACTCCGAGAGTGAAATGTTGTGGCTTGCTGTACAAGGCGTTCTACCAGACTGCAATTCCTGGTAACTACTCGATCACTATTCCATGTTATGCACTGTACATCGGTGGAATTTCGCATCACATGCGGTTCACGTCACTCGCGTGTCACTGCAACTCGGCGGCTTCGGCTTGTGACAATTTCGTCGATGGGTCCGATAGTTGCACAAGCGCCGTTTCCATCAACCGGAACAGTTCATGCTTTTTGTCAAAGCATCTGCTACCTGCGTGGCCGTATCGGTCCACCTCAAACGATCCCCGTGGGGAGAGTACAATCGCGCGGTCTCGATCTCGTTCTCCCAGAGCTGCTGTCGCATCGACATCCATTCGATCATGAGACGTCGGTCTGTGACTTTATTGACTTGTTGACTATTCAAATGGTCGCTGAAACTGCGACAGTCCGTAATCCAAAGATGCAACATTTTCGTCTGAGACGTTTCAAGCCACCCCTTCAAGGAAGGTAGTTGCCCACGCAGTTCCCACACGATGGCCCTCAACCTGTCGCCACTTTCGACGGCTGTCTGCATGGCGTACGTCTCTGACGCCAATGCGCTTCTGCAGATGCGTTTGATTGTTGTAGATCCGTAACTCAACACATGCGCAATGTGCGTGTTTTCATTCGCCGTGATCTCTGGTGGTCAGGTAATGCTACCTGCCTTGCTGGCTGCTGAAACCGGATTCCTGGGCGAATGATGCGTCTCAAGATGTTACAACGCATATGCCATGCCAGTCTAAAAATCCCGCCGGGTAGTACAACGATCGATCTTGGTCCGCCTGGGCGAGCTCGGCCACGCGGTTAGCTTCCTCCAAGTCGGCGATCGTCGCTTTGGGGCATGATCTTTGAAGACTGTTCACCCTGCAACACAAATCGGGCCTTGCGAACCTAGCTATCCATGCTAGCGAACCCGCAACACTGCTACGGCTCGTTACCTCAGCCTCGGTTGCATGATCCGTGGCCTTGCGTCCTGCTGGGATGTTGATCTTTCGAATCTGCCGCGTGTTGTCCCCCGCGTCAATGCGCACGCTGAAGTCCTCGGCCTGTCGGAACCTCCGACCACAGAAACGAAAGTCTGTGTCCTCAATCCTCCCAACATCGAACTTTGCCAAAATTCGCTCCATAGTTTCCGTGCCTTCTGGTGTTGCACACCATAACAGATTGTCAACGTGAGTTGCGAGGATGATAGCCGGCAATCCGTCCGACCCAAGTAAGTAATACAAACCTGGGGCAATCCAACTCATCGCCTCGCCCTTGGCCTCTGAACTCAATCTGTTATAGAAACCACATCCCGCATCGATGGTCCCGTAGATTGGGAGTCTGCAGAGAAGCATAGCCTCCTCCGGAACCTGGGAGTCCTCAAGATGGCTGCCGCATGATCAGCACTCTTTCAAGCGGAGACTCCTGAAAATAAGCGCTGGTAATGTCACCACAACGCAGCTTCAACCGTCTTGATGCTGCATAGCTCGCGATGAGACAATGAACTTCAGCATCGGCAGTGGGACTATCACAATCAAGCTCATTCCTATCAACATGTTCTAGATGTCCGCACGCCACAAGTCGGCTGCGATACTTGGGTCTGTAGTCCTCACTCCCCTTCTGGTGCTCATTCTTGTCAACGTCGATCCACTGGCTCGGGATCGGCTTGTGCCCTTCGTTGAGCAATTGTTGCAACATCTCGCCTTGGATTGGTATTGCTGCGTTGTACCTCTGGTACTTTTCCCATTCTTCCTTACGGGCTCCCTTGATGCCTTCCTTGACGTGATCTTCGCACTTGAAGTCGTTCATCTTGCGGGGTTTCTTTCCCGCTTGCTGATCACTTCCTGGACCAGACCTCTCTGCCACGAAAGCTCGGAACTCGGGTGTATCCGGGGCCGGGAAACCCTGACAGATCCAAAGGGCTCTCACTCCGAACGCGGAAAAGACTGAACCCTGTCCATGTGAGCCAGATGCATCGGGATCCAATCCCCACTCATCACGAACCACATCACTCGAACCGTCCTCAAAATAGCGATGCCCTTCTCTAGTGTATCTGATCTTGTCGAGATCACCGGGGAAATCGTCCGAGTTAGGCTCATACATGTAACGACGGGGCGCGACGTGCACTCTGACATGCATGTTCTGTCCGACCTTCCAATGATCCTTGCTCGTGCACAGGCTCATCGCCTCGTTGAGCTCTCTCTTCGGTTCCTGCGAAGCTTCTTCACCTGAACTGGATTCCTGCTCAGCAACTTTTGCGATGTTCGGCGCAATCGATGCGATGGGGTCCAAGTTGAAACCTAGATCCCTGAGCTGATCCCTTTCGCAATCCCCGAACTTCAAAACACCTCTACTCCCAATAGACCACCGTTCACCTTCGAATGGAAGAGTCGCATGCACCTGATCTGGGTCCTGGGTCAAAGACAGTGACATTGTTGCGGCTATCCAAGATACGACCTTTCTGTTCCCCCAGAGGACCCAGCATCGTCAGCTGGTTCTTGCTCTTCTTCAAGTTGTGACAATCTCTATGTGGAGGCGTTTCGAGGTCTCTGCTTATCTGAATTGACGACCATCCTTCGCTTGCCCCTCTTGCTCTCAAGTAGCTGCTCAGGTACATCACCAACTTTTTGTGTCTGCTTGTTGCTTCTGTTACACCTGAAAAATTGCCATGGGCATACGCTCCAAAACTGTAGGCTTTACCGTTCCTGACAATCTCGCGCTTCCCTATGCTGGTGAGCGGTGTCATCCTGAGTAGTTTGAGGCATGTTGATGGACGGAAGTCGCTTCTCTCAAATGCTTCTTGTGCTACTTCTTCTGCATCATCAATGCTTGCTTCATGGCAAACCCTCCAATCTGAATCGTCAACAACCTGATCATTCAAGGCAGTGTTTGCTTGGGACGATTGTCCAGGCTGCGTCGGCTCATCGTCTGATGAGCTGTCTGAACTCGAGCTCGAACTACTGCTGGAGATCGCAATCGCGGGCGGTTCAACCTCCTCTTGTTTGCGTTTCCGCGCTGCAGTGGTAGGCTTTCTGGCTTTCGGTTGAGGTTGCTCTTGCGTCAAGAAATCCTCTCTTCCCTTTCGGGCCTTCGGTCAACGACCCAGGAGCACTGGAATACCCGAAATCAGACAATGCGACAATACCTCCTCTTCCGAAGCTGGCCTCATGGAATGAACCGAGCACAAGACGGGAATACCACCACTCACAACCCATATGGCTTCTGCAGTCTCTTGTCCAATCACTCTCGAGGTAGTGCTCCACTTGGTTCCACCTGCTTGCGCGTCTCTCCGATACACCACATAGTCTCCAGTCTTGTACTGCTCCTTGATTGGTGCCGCATTCTTGGTCAATGCCTTTTGTGTTCTACGGCTCGTGTCAAGCTTGACCATGGCTTTCTTTGCCTCAAGGCGGCTCTTCTGCCTCAGAGCAAACGCATCTGCTCCACTGAGCTTTCCTTCCATGGCACCAATGTCATTCCACGCTTGTTCATCCGTCAACGTTCCTGGCCCTCTCGGATTTCTACCCAACACCCACTGACTACGTGAAAATCCCGAAACATTCATGGTCATGTTTTTGACGGATGCGACTTCTTGAATGACACTCCGCAGGGCATCTGCTCCTTCGGTCGGCACGCCGGCTACTGTTTTCCTTATGACCGCTTTTGCTAACCCCCCGTGGCATTCCACCTTGCCCAACATCCAAGGGGCCTCCGTCGCGGCGTACCGCACATCTACCCGTCAGGTAGCCCATGAAGCACCCGCGGTTATGCGACCCCCGATCCGCCATGATGCAACGCGGTAGACCCGCCCACGCGAGCCACCGTTGGAATGCTTCTAAGCACATCTCCGCCGGGGGCGGGCCTTGACTCTCTCTGGTGACTTCCCTCAGGAGCAGCTGCTGGAAACCCGTCGCGAGATCGACGATGTTGAAGCACTGATATATCTCCTTCTTTGCGAATCCATGGTTTCCAACACATCAACTCCTACGACGTCACCGAAGACATAGTTCCCATGACCAATACCGACAGGATGCGATCTAGGCTTCGGGCTTGTTCGCACACACAGCTCTCGCACTTCACGAGCTTAGATGCCTCGATGAACTCCTCTGCGGCACCTCCTGCTCTCAGAATCGCCTGAAGGGTTCTGGGAGCTGGCTGATTAAACTGCCTATGCAGCCTGCGGATCTCGACGCGCACTCGTTGGGGCAGCCTGCGCCACGCCGCCGTCGCTGCGCCTCTGCCTTCGGGACCCCCGGCGGGAGGGATTCCAGCCACCCCCGCTCACGGATGTCTGCATCCACGTCGCCCGCTTCGGGCACTCCCAATTCCTCAACCTCATCGACCCACCTTCAACATCCGTGCCCAAACCCGTGCTCACGACATAAGCGGCACTCCTTGCATCCAGGTAGGCCTCCTCACCGATGGAAATTACCGCATCGTAGAAGCTCCTCGTGTTCGAATCACAGAAAGCTTTTGGTGTGTAACCGGAGCCCTCAAACCACGAAGTCAAGCTTCCAATGATACGGTTGGCCAACGGTCTAACACATGCCAAGCTTGCATCCCCTGCTGTTTCCGTCACTTACACGTTGACATTCGAAGCGTCGGCTTCACGGAACAGGTTGATGCACATGTTGGGGTCAGGATCTGAGGTCTTGTAAAGCACCATCTCCGGTCTGAACTCATTCACCTCATGCGTGAATCGGTTCCACTTGAAGTCCTTGGAGGAATGCTCCGACATGCCAGGGATGTTCACAGTGCATTGTCGTGGATCAGGATTACGCTGTTGGGTACTCGAATCAGGGATTCTGGGGCTGGGTTTCCACCCCAGCAACCATAGCTGCGAAGCAGTCCAACTCCCCCAACAAAGATACGCCCTCAAAGGTCGTGGGACACGAGCCATAATGCGAAGCCCACTTGTTAGGTTAACCGCAAGGAGGTTGCTACCTCGGGTCCTAAACAAGGGCATCCTCCACATTTCACCGTTGCTCCTCTGCACATATCACACGAAGTTCTTGAGGTCTTTCAGCAATCCGAGTGTACTCTGTGCGAACAAGGATAGGAGGAGCGGGGTGTCATCGCCTGTTGTTACATGGCAATCCAAGATACCAGGGAGCAAAGGGCTTTGGTTCTCGTTGGAGGCGTCCGTCCTTGTTCTGGCAACTTACACAGAAAACCATCCTCTTATATCCCAACGTCTTTGTCGATCCACCAAGTCCCTTGAACGACACTCCATCCTCGCTCGAATCCCAACTTCAGGAGTTTCTTCTCGGCGTTCTCACACCACTTACGGCTACAAACCGAACTGTTTGCCCCATCGTCAAGGACTCCAAAGACATCCTCATGGTCGAATATGTCAACCTCCTCGAGGACCAAGGGAACTGTTGAGGGTAAGGGGTCAGGCTTCACAGCCATGTTGGCTGTCCGATCCCTTCCCGTCCTCGTCCCCCGGTCGTGCGATCCGGATTCTGCTGCCCGTGACAGTGCAGCCAACGACAGCTCGCCCGGCGGTCGCCCGGCGACGAGCGCACTGAAGATGCTGCTTCCTGACTCACTATCACTTCTTCCAGGAGGTCGTGGTCGTTGAGGATCTTGTGAAGTTCTTTGGGCGTCACCGTCGGTTCTGAGGTTCCGTCTGCTGTCTGTGACACAATGTAATCTTCGACTTGCAACCTGAACTCCTCTTCCAGACTCACGGTTTGCGTGGCATCCAAAGTTACCTCATCCGTAACGTTCCGTGCGATGTTGGAAATCCGATCAAAAGATGCCGAAGTAGTACTCTCTATCTCTTGTGCTGTCTGTCGTCTTCTCTGAGCCTCCTTTTGGGGCATCTCATCTATCACATGTCCACAATCCTTGCAGAACGTCTTGGCTGTTGCACGATTAGATCCCAGTTTGCTGGTGTTGACATGTGCGCATCTTGTCGGATCTTTCTTCTCAAACATCTTCTTCTGCTTCTCTACCTTGCCGCAAACCTTACAAGTCTTCACCGTGACATAGGCAGTCGTTCCAGAATAGGAGAAGTGTGTACAAACCGCACAACTCACTGGCAACGGGGGGTTCGGAGGCTTGCCTTTCACTACCTTGTGGGCTGACGCTGCCGGGATGGCGATTCGCTGTCCATCAGACCCTGCTACAGCTGTCATCTCATCAAGTGGTACCTCTCGTCTCTCCACTTCCATGCTCTGCTCATGATATGTAATAGTTCTGAACCCAATCCAGGAAATCCGCCAAATCCCGCGAGCCGACGGACCTCAAGGAACGCCCCCAAACTACGTAGCCTGGGAACCGGTGTGGCACTTCCTCGAAACTCAGGCCGCGATGTTGCCCTATGGAGAAGACACGGTCCCTTCCAGGTGGCATGGCGTCTCGAGCTGCGTTCCTGGCTGCCCTTGGCACTCTAGCGCCTTCCCTGCGATAGGCCATGTACGCTTGGGGACTCGAGTCTGAGGGTCCACTGTCGATGTCCACACATTCGAGATCATCATCGCTGTCACTAGAGTCCGGGACTGCGCTTGCCATGAATGCTTGCTTGGTTCCTGGCTTCGGGCTCGACTTGGAGTCATTCTTGCCACCTTCACCTGACGAAGGTTGCGCTCCGCGCCCTTTCGGGCATTGGGGATCACCACTCCAGTGGCCGACTTGACCACACTTCAGGCACTTGCTTCGGGATTTGATTTCCTGAAGTCGCTTCTTCCGATCCTCAACTGAGAGATTGCTTCTCAGCACAGGAAATTCCTTCTTCCCCTTACCACCTGGCGATCCCTTGCCTCTTCCTGCCTTATATACCCATTACCACATGAGCTGCGCGCTGAAGCTGAATAGCCTGGGCTGTGGCGTCCGGGAAGTTCTCGAAGTCACACTCTTCTAATGCATTCAGGGCCACGGCGGTTTCCTCATCGGAAGCAATCTGATCTTCCTCATGGGCTGTGAATCCGACTGGCCGCCCTGGCAATTCAGTCCAGGCATTCCATCCTTCTTCATTCTGATCTTCACCAGGGGTGCTTGCATACCATGCATCATCATCGTAATCATCAGTCCTATGTCCTTGCGATACATAGGCCGACTCATCACCACCGTTCATGCCCAGGTAAGCTGTTGTGGACGGTTCCAATGCCTGGTAACCGTACTTTCCTGCTTTCCCGGATCCCTTCTGATACCACTTATGTGTAATTACCCTTCTCGGCAAACCACGTGATACGTTCGATTCCAGTAGCCTGTTCCGCATATCGTGCCATGGTGTTCGGTCATGATCTTTGCATAAGTTTCAAACTCATGAACTCCAGCAGCGCAGGCTTTTATCATGAGTTGCTGATCACGCTATAACCCACTCAGCTGTCCGCTCCTGAACAGAGCTTGTGCCTCGAGGGTACCAAGAGGAAATACCATAGCTCTTATCTCCGAACTCAAAGCTCTCAATCCTCCAGGTGCCGACAATGCCGCTATTCCAATGTCCTTCACCTTCTGGAAAGCGTCGCCTCGAAGCCCTTCCATAACCCGAAGGACCGTCTCAACAGAACCATCCTCCGAACTGCTGCTCTCTCGGGACACCTTGCTGGGCTCGGCGGCGGGCCTGTCTGTCGAAGGTCCAGACCCTCAGAAGCCTTCTCCTCTGGCCGGAGCTTCCGCTTCCGCCTGGGGAGACCTCTCGGCCCTTCCTCCCTCAGGGCCACGCGATGACTCGAACGAAGCTTGATCTCTCTTCTTCTTCTTCTTCTTCCTCCTGCGTTTCTCTTGCTGCTCGAAAGCCACGGTTCTGAGTTCAGTACGAAACTCCTACCCGTGGTAATCAGCAGGGTTGCCATCATATATGAAAACTCCCTTCTCTGTCACCGAAGGCGTTGCTGAATAAACCTTGTTCCGAAATCTCAAGCCTGCAACTGTCATGCTCGAGTCTCTTCTCGAAAGGTTTAGACACACGCCAGATCCACTTCACACTTCGCCTTGCGCACGTTGCCTCGACCTTGCGACTCGAGGACTTACTGCAATCACTTCTCTCACTTCCAACCACAGAATCCAAATGCCGCTGGAGCTTTCTAGCTCCGCTACCAGTTAGGATCAGATGTCAGCGAACTATGGCGCAATTGGATTCGCACTTTTGTGCCTCTAGCTCAAGGGCCCTGCGAAGTAAAACAGCAACGGTTGGTCGTAAACATGGTTCCTCTACATGACCGTCACTGCTGCGGAAGGCACGCACTCAAGCTGCACATGTAAGAACACACGGGAAATTCTCACCAAGTCCAACCCTGCAGCAAAAAACCACAGATGAAGTGCCGCTAAAGCTGCGTCCATTCGTCAAAGGTTGTCTCGCGGTCTTCCTTGGAAGGCCACGAAATCGAAGTGCTTCATTTCAGCGCTTGGGATAGAGTTTTGGTGGTTCAAGGGTTAAGGGTCTCGGGTTTAGGGTCGTATAGAAGTTGTCTAGGGTTTGGGTCCCCAGTTTCGGGCGGGTTTGGGCAGCTTTTATTGAACGTCTTGGTCGGAGCGTTTTTGTGCTATTGCCCCTGCCCTGCCCTGCACTCACGCCTTGTTCGGCCTTGCCTGCCACCCTGCCTGCCTGTCCTGCGCCCTGCCCTGCCGGGCACCCTGCCGCTTTGCTAAACCCTAAACTTGGCCTAAACCCTAACCCTTTTGCTCAAACCGAATCTTCTTCCATGAAACGACTGGATAACGAGACAATAGCTCCGCCAGCACAAACCGCAAGGACTTCACCGCTCAACCTGACCTACAACTTCCATTAATCATTGTTGGCTTGAGGGTTAAGGGTTTAGGGTTTGCTGTTTCGGAATTACCGCCGGTCTCGAGCCTAAGTAGCCCAGCGCCTGCAAGGGATGAGGTAAGGGATGCCCAGCCGACCCAAATCCCGAAAAAAACGGACAGCTAGACCTAAAATCGGGGCCTTTGTAACTAGAATAGGGTTCCTTTATAGGGATCCTTAAAGGGTTCTATAAGGGATCTATGATAGGGTTCTATAATATAGGGGCCTTAATAATGAGACTAGGGTTTGGGCGGAATATGTTACGATAAGTAGCGTTTAGGCTCTACTTTTGGGCTGGGAGTGTCTGGGGTTTTGGCGTAACGAGGCTCGTTCGCAGGCGCAGGTTCAGCGGGGGCAGGACAAGGCCTTTGGAGCGAACAGTCTAGGGTGGCCGGTTCGGGGGTTCTGGGTAAAAAAGGCTTCAGGGGTTTAGGATTTCACGGTTTAGCGGTTTGATTTCATGTTTAGGGTTTCAGTCTTCAGGGCGTTTAGGTTTCGGGGGCTTCGTTGAGGGTTTATGGGTTTATGGGTGTAGGGTTTAGCATGGGGCCTAACCGACCAGGGGATGGCTTCAGGGCAAAGTCCCCAGTGCACGAAAGGACCAACTCGTGCATTTACGGCAAACAATTTTGGCCCTGAGCTTGAAACCCTAAACCCTAAACTCTAAATCCTAAACCCTAAACGGCCCTAAACCCAGAACCCTATAAAACTGCAAGGTTGAAGGCATTGACGGCTCGAGTTAGCTCGGCAGACTCCTTTCGTTGGCTTCGTTCCGGGCGGATGGGGGCTGAGTCTCACGATCCAGGGTTTAGGGCTTCCTTGGAGGCTTTCAAGGGTTCCTGGCTTTCAGGTCCTAAACCCTGAAACCAAAGCTCGAAAAATCAAAGCAAACCTATAACAACCAGCTAGTGCAACCCCATAAGCCTCTGCAGAAACCCTCTGACAACCCTACAGGACCGCACAAACCTCTGCACAAAACCTGCTGATGCAGTTGTCCTGGTTGTACTAGAGGTAATGCAGCATCACAGTTAGGCTCGGTGCTAACATCCATGGCTTCAGCAAAGGCAAACGAATTGACACTTGTCCCTCCGGCAGACCGTGCTTTGACCACAGCGTTTACACCCTCCCAATTCAATCTGTCTTCGTCACGACCTGCACGCCCGTGTAAGCTAGAAGTGGAGGCCTTGCGTTCTCAATCGCTGAGCCCAAATGACCCGAAGAAATCGGGAGACTACAAATTTCCCGACTGTCTCAACGGTGTACCTAGGAGCCGATAAGGATGGAATTTCGAAGCCCGCTAGAACATGCTGGAGGCCCGCCCGTGCTTTCTTGAACTCGAACCCTCGTCCCAGCACTCTCCCGCAGCAAGGACATCAAGTGCGCCAAGGGTCGGCTCAGAGCTGCTCCCACCTTGCGGCAGACGCTGAGCTGCGAAGCTTTGAGAGACTCAGATAGGATTCATGTTCGGGGCTTCGGCCTGGGCTGAGTCGTAGCGCAGATTTCGTGGCTCCTTGTGAGCTTGACTACTCCTGATTTCCGAGATGCCGCTGGCAGCAGCCTATCGCTCTGGCCACTCAGTCTTCCAGAGGTAGAACCCATAAAATTGGAACATCTACTCCCCATGCCCTTGCGCTAAAGTATACGCAAGGGATCGCAAGGGATTCTTGCAGCAATCACCCTAAGGTTCACTGTATGGTGAAGCCCAGCCGGAAGACATAATCGCACCCTTAAAAACGCTGAGCGGCTTCGGTGGGCTTGCAGGCAAGCCACGCTCGGCGAGCCCTTTGAGGGACAAGGTCTCCAGTGCCTAAGTAAATCGCCAATCCGAGTGGTCGTATTGGGGCCAGTAACAAAACGAGAGGGGCTGCTTGCAGCAGACCTGCACGCGCACGCACGCACGCACGCACTCG